CGTCGCTTGTCCCAGCTCCCGCCAACCTAGCGGTTCGAAAGCATGCAAATGCGAGTAGATAAATAGGGACCACTTCGGTGGGAAGGTAACAGCGTTCCGTGTCTAAGTCTCACTGGCCATGTGACCACGGAAGATTGTCTTCGGACAAACGCTGGCTCTATGGCTTGGAAACGGGGTTGAGCACCGCCCCCTAGAGTCGAACATGACTGGACAAAAATTGTCAAGGGGAATCTTTACCTTTACCCTATTATTATTATTATTGTTGTTGTTGTTGTTGTTGTTGTTGTTGTTGTTGTTGTTGTTGTTTCTCAGAATGAGGTTGGTTCTAACTTGTGGTGATCCTTTCCAGGGTTTTCTTTAAGCAAATCATCCATTTAAAATTATATCAAGCCAGACCACTGGTCTATCTGACTCAGCGTACCATTGACTGGCTGTGGTTCTTCAGGGTTTCAGATAGAAGACTTTCCTACCACTATCTGGAGCTTCGGGGAACTGAATTTTGGATTTATTGCATACAAAGCACATTGTCTATTCCAGGACCATGATTCTTACCAAGAGATATCCTTGTTTATCTATCTCCATTGTACTCAATAATAATTGTGATTACATGGTACCAAGTTTTCCAGCTCATTATGACCTTCCAAAGGTTTTCTAGGTAGAAAGTATTCAGAAGTGGTTTAGCAGTCCTTTTTTTCTGGGGGTGTTCTTGCCCTAGTTTGCATAAAGCTGCACAGGTGGCAGGGCACAGCAGAAATATATATGTATCTGCTCAAGTGATCTCAGCTGGTCTTTCTCCCAGGGAGCATAGAGAGGATTCAAGCTCCTGGCCACTAGCTCTACAACTACATGTTGCAACCCAGTGACTTATGCCAGATACGTTGAATTAATTTTGAAGATTGAAAAGAGAATGCAGTCCCAAAAATGTCTGGTAGGGAGCAAGCAGCCAGCTTATCATTGATGATCCTAGAATGGGGGAAAATTGACGGTGTGTTACTGCTGTTCCACAAAGGCCAGAATTGTGTTGGGAGAAACAAGAGATGGGAGAATCATCATACACACTTCCCCCTTTGATAGGATCTTCATCGCACAACTGCTTGTGCACGGGTTCTGAAATCAATCATGCAACCCATTGCACCACTGACCTGTGCAACAGACACCCATCCAAAGGTCACACAACAAATCTTATCCGTGCTGTTTCTTCCAACAGGATTCCAGTCGGACTATTTTGGGAGCTACAATCTGTCAGTCATCGATTCGGATGACATTATTGATTTCATAAGTGTGTAAATGTCCAAGAGACTTTCATATTCTTAAAGCAAGAAGGAATAGGAGTCCTTCCATCTGGAAGAAATATTACCCAAGAAATATGAGTTGCCAATTTCAGAACCTCAGCATTTTGATAAAGAACTTAGAAGCAAACTTAGGAATACATAATATTCTCTCTTTTTTAGTGCAATGAATTCATTTCTTGTGTATGCAATCGTAATGTTACTTAACCTTTAGAGCTGATTTCAGTGTGCGTTGGGCACGTAAAAGGCACTAGTAGACACACGTGATTTGCTTTCATTCAGCTGGCTTACTGCCCATAGTTTACCGGCATGTGCCTTCTGCGTATAAAGGTTGTAAAAGAGTTAAATATAATGTTTGTTGTGTGTGAGCAAGCAGTGTGGGTGAAGACCTCTCACTCACCCAGCATCTAATTCAAATGATCGCTTCTTCAGTACTAGCAAAGAGTTCAGTATATCTCAACAATTTTGCAATTGCCCAAGCAAAAGACTATCATGATCTGCCAGGTATTGGACCAGAGATGGAAACTGCTAAATTCGTTATTCTCATGTATTTGGGGTGTCACAACAGGATGAGACACCCACATGAGGAATTTTAAACTCTATGAAACTGTTCTTCTCCAGGTGAGAGACAATAGCATCTTCTCCTTTCAAGTTCTTTATAATTCATAGCAAATGTCCCTTGTGTTCTTTCTCTTTGAGGAGCTAAGTAAACACATACAGACACATAGAGGGAGCACAGAAAGATGAGTTGATTGTTACAAAAGATGCTAACAACCCATCTAGTGCTTCCAATCTTTAATTGGAGTAACAAGCATCTAAATTTTGGGCCTTTTGCATGGTATGGGGATTGCCAATTAATTATATCCAACAAAAGCTCAGGGTAAGGGAGAAGCTTTCTCATCCTTGTGCACCATCTGAAGGCAAGGGCGGGTGATACACCCATTAGGCATTAAAATCTCACACAAACAGGATAGTTTTCAGCTCCATGAGTCTTCATCAGGGTGGGTATAACAGAGCTGGGGGTGGTGCAGAAAAAAAAATATACAGCTTCTAAAAATCCATGGGTGGATGTGCAGGGCAAGTTCGCTCTTTAAAAGGAGTTCCAAAACTGCAGAGGCCACGCAGGAATTGTAGCTTTTACATTTCACTTTTAGCAAGGTGGATTATGAATGTCCAGAACTTGTTAGACAAAGAGCTGCTAGTCACTAAGTATGCACACACAACCATTTCTGTAAGGAGCTTTGGTTAAACTGCATTACTGCAGTCAAAGACTCTGCTCATGATTTGCATTCAACTGTCCAGAGAGTGCTTTAAGCAGCATATTTTGTTTTCCTTTTTGATTCTGCAACTCCCATTTTGGAACTTGCTTTAAAGGACAAACATGGCCCACATATTTGACCATGGATTTTTATGGTGGGTCCCCCCACCCCGCACTACTTCATGTTTTGTAGTGCTTAGCCTGACAAAGACTCAGGTGGAGTCACAAGCTAGCCTCTCTGTGTAAGTTTTTTTTGTGATCTCTAACAAAGGTGTCACTCACCCTTATCTTCAGATATTTTTGTGTAACCACAGGCATTTTCTGCATGGGTAAAACTTTGTTCTTCCCACTGGGAGAATTCCACTGCAAGCCACTGGAAAATCTCATCAGCCATTCCAGTGAGAAAACAGTGGTAATTCCTTGCCTTTGCCTGTGAGGGTGAGATAAGCACATATTTACATCTCAGTGTGGGATTACCCTGCCCGCTTTTTGCCATTCCTGGCAGGCAGGACAAAGGGGGAGGGAGATAAAGTCCCCTTGTGAGCCACCTCAAATGGCAGTGAATTGCAGACCGCTTCAAAATTAATGTTCTTTTGTTTATTGCCGTTGTTTGCACCGTGCTTTTCAGACAAACTCTCCCAAAGCATGCTTGCAAAATGTAAAATGAAAACATTACGTCTGTAATAAATTCCTAAAACAGAGCAGAGCAGAACCAGGTAAAAATACTCAGTAGAAACCAAGACATGCTTCTTTGTGAGCAGCACACTTTGCTTAAAAAAAATCAGGCAAATAAAATACTGTATATTCTCTCATGCTGAGACATTATCAGGCACGGCAACAGGCAAGACTCCTTAGGAAGAGGAACACAAAAAGCATCCTAATGCAGAGTCTGGCCATTGTTTCGTTGAGACCAGTTATTGTCTTTGCTTGGTTTGCTTGAGATCTTTAGTATTCCCTGCTCATCTCCCACCTGTGTAGTAAAAAGCCCTGATCCTGCTTAGCTTCCAAAATCATAAGAGAAATTGAGGAGGAGGCTGTAGCTTAGTGGTGGAGCATCTGCTTTGCATGAGGAAGGTTGTAAGTTCAGCCTGCAGTGTCTCAACTCATGGACAGGGAGGATTCATGTCTGAACTCTAGAGAGCTTCTGCCCAACAGTGCTGGCAATACAAGACTAGCTGGAGCAGAATAAGGTTGCTTCCTATCTTCCTAAGAATCTTCCAGAGTTGAGGGGTCATCAGCAAAAAGGCCCTGTTGCAGATAGAAGAACCCACAAGATTCCATTTGAAATAGATCTTTGTACCATGGCATAGTATTTTTACTCTTTGGTAGCAGGTCCATACCATGTCAGGTTTGGATGGGAGAAGTCCCATACATAATGAATTGCAAACTTCCAGATGGAACGTTACCAGAGGTTATATCTCTGTCCAGCAATAGAACAGACTGAACTGGTGCAATGTGCACCAAATGGCTTACAACACCCAACCCATGAGCCTCCAAAGCTAATCCTGGGTTTAATAGCATGCAATAGGTTGATCCTTCATGGGAGAGAGATCCCATCCAAAAGAGGCCAGACACCATTGCATGGATTAGACAAACCAGCTCACAATGGCACAGACAGCTATTTGGGAACAGTCATGATATTAAGCACCAATGAGAGGGTTCAGGAGATTTCTTGGTGTGCATGATCCACTAGGTGAGAACCCTTATTTCAGCCTGATGGTCAAAATCTATACCAGATCATTGCATTCCATTGGCAGGAGGGGCCCAAAAGTGAAAGGGTAGGGTCTAAAATACCA